AAATCTTCAAACATCTTCCATCTTCTCTCTACCGATGATAACAAATATGGCTTGCAAAACAAATTATTTAAGAACGGAAAAACCAATAATAAAAAATTTTTTAGAGTATAGCTCACAAAAGCTTCAATGTTGCGCTTTTGAATCAAAATGTAGTTTTGGAAAACCATTCAAAAAAAGAAAAACAACACACACCTGCTACTACCACTTCTGAATTATATGATTAATAAAGTCTTTAGAGTTTTGTCTCAAAGGACAAAGTTTATGTAAGATTCTTTTGAAGTGTTTCAATTTTAGAATTTTGTGATCCCTTAGTGAAATGAAGTGTTAACTAGTTGTGACTCACATTTTATCTATTTTCCGTGCTTAACTCTATGTGATTCAGAGACATAGTCTTAAAGCTATAATTACAGGTCTGATTTTGTAAACCAATACTGCTATGTGCATGGGACATATTTTGTTCCGCTGAATGAAACACTGCCCTTCAGCGAATCTGAACGAAGACGAATTCCCATCAACTACTACCAGTGGGTGAGTTCATAGTGCTCTTAAAAATTTATTATTGCTGCTACCACATCACTGATCATTACTTTTGAAGTTGTTGAGACAGCAGTCGTCCGTCATTTTCTCGGATTTTTTTCATCGCTAGGTCAACATGTAGAAAAACGAAAAAAACTTTGTCAAAGCAGTATAATTCTGGCAATTTTAGTCTTCAAAAATTAAACACTGTAATTCAATGATAAGCTTTAACTTATGCGAGTCTGCTATTAGCTTGTTTATTTATTTTTGTTACATTGTCTTGTAATGTTATGTTATTGCACAGTTGCTTACCAGGAACACTTACATCAGCAACATGATGGTTTCATGAAGAAGCTTGTCTTCGCAGTTTCCTGCAAATTTATGTAATGAAGTATCCCATCCTGACATGTCGAAAACCACATAGTCCATTAATTTCCTTTTTGAAAGAGCCATAATATCTATCTGCCGCACTTCAATTTTTGCCAGACCTCCATGAATCAATGTATGTAGTAGACTTCCTCGAACAATGTGAATGCCATAATTGTTTGTAATCATGCATGTAATCAGTGTGCAAATATCATGCAACAATGTTCTGCTATACTCAATTTGTCTTTTCACACATAATCAATGCACAGAGATGTATAAGATGACATATGGATAAAAGCTTACTTATAGTCCAACGATAATATCATTTTGCTTGACGCTAAACAAATAATTGCTTACTGTAAAGTTCAAATAAACTACA